CCACTCCCAGATTTTATATTATCAAGATCTGGGATGCATGCTGCCACCAGGGTTTGAACCTAGACAGCTGTTGGCTATGCGCGTGCATAGCTGCTACTATAACACAATGACCACAATGTGTTTATGGCTGTGTAGTGCGGCACGCAGCTGTTGAAGAGGTGCGTGCCAGCTAATTACCCATGCCCCCCGCCGGCGAGCAGCAGCCAGCAGGGCAGCAACGCGCGGGCTGCTATTTGCCCCCCCCCCTCCTTGGCGGCTGCTGCCTGCGCACGTGGCCATCTGCAGTGCCACGTGGCAGCTTTCTGTGGAACTGAAGACCCCCTTGATCGGGGGCTGCTCTACATTGGTGAGGGTTTGCTTACACAACATACCCTAGATCTGCAGATCTGCAGTACTGCTGCTAGGGGCTGATCAAGATCTCAGCCATTCTCTCCTCCAACTGGCTCGTGGCAGCGAAGGCCAAGACCCTCCTGGTCTTGGTATACCTTGTGCCATTGGAGACACCAAGGGCCAGGTATCATCCCACTCTCTTCCCTCTCCCTACTAACCCACTCTCTCTACCTTTTCTCTCTCCTCTTACTCACCCCCTCTACTTCTTCCTCTTCTGCCTCACTCACTTCCTTTTAATCACTCTCACCGCTCATACCCCTCTCCCCACCCCACCTTTTCTTCCACCGCCCACTATTTTACTCTACTTTATTCATTTATTTATTTTTCTTTCTCCCCTTTTCTCTTTGCTTTTTGATCCCTCCCCACCCTTCTCATCCCTTTCTCTCCCATTCTCTCACCCTCCTCTCCCCCAACTACAACCTATCACTTCCCTCATCTCCCCCTTCACTCTTTTTCTCTCTCCCACCTATTTCTCTCTTTTCTCCACTTTTTCCATCCCCCTTCCCTTCTACTTCGAAATTTTTTTGTTTTTTCTTCTTTCTATCTTTCTTTTGATTGATCTTTCCTTTTTTTTCCAAAAATTCGAATTATCTTATCCCCCACTTTCTTTTCTTCTTTTCTGATTTATTTCATTTTATTTATATTTTCTGTTTTCTTTCACTTAGTCTTTTCAGCACATTTTGACCCCTTGGGGGTAGCGAAGTGCTGGCAAAATCTCCTCATTTTACTTAGCCTTTGTTCTTGACGGCACACTTCGACCCCATGGGGGTAACAAAATGCTGCCGAAAATTTTGAAAAATCAGACACTTTATTTCTCTCCACCTCCTCATCAACTTATTTATTTATTTATTTATTTATTTATTTATTTATTTATTTTTCTCTTTCTTATTTCTTTATTTCTTCTCTGAAATTTTAAATTTTTGGCATTTTGAAACTTAGTGTGCTTATCTTGGTCTCTCCTTTCCCTTGGCACATTCTTGATCCCATGGGGGGTAGGGAAATGCTGTCGAAATTAAAAAATATATATATATTATTTCTCTCTTCACATTGTTTTTACTTATTTTTTTAATTATTTTATTATTTATTTATTTATTTTCACTTTTCTCTCAAAATTTCACTGTTTATTTATTTTCCCCCCGCCTCCCGCCCATGCTTGCTATTTTATTTTCTTGATTAGGTCACCGGTACCCTACCCTAACCACTCAAACCCCGGTTAGGGTTTTCTTAGGGTTTTCTAGGGTTTAGGGTTCTCCTACCCCCCCCCCC